GGTTTTTTCAATTTGATCGAATGGTGGTATTTATATAATTGAAACTGTGCAAGACTTTTTGCTTGATCAAAGATTTGACGATCTTTTATTCTGCGGTTTGAATTGATTAGGGATTTGGGAGGAAAGATGAGCGAGGTTTACGAAATACTGTACTATGAGCTCTTTGTAAATTTGTCAAGAAAATGTGATGCTTCCCTTATGAGAAGTAATTGGCACTTTACTTGTGATATTTGTAGAGGACTAGCATTTACATCTATTATTGTAATATTTATAATTGAGAGAGGACATGAGCGCAAGGGAACTGTGTCTATTATCCCCCTTCTTCTGGCTGGTATAGTCATCATTTTTGTATTGGAGGACAGTATTATATTCCTTCAGGCTATTTAGACATTAACAATGCAACATTGAAAAATTCTAAAGCAAGAAATTGATAGTCAAGTAGAGTTGGGTTCTGGAAATACATGGTAACTATAATTTAATTAAGATGAGTCACCTGAATGAGAGTGCCCATCCCCCTTTTTTTGTGGTTGGAACGATTACAACAACAATATAAGTCCATTACCAATAAAAATGGAGTCAGCTGAAGAATGCTCGTTTGCCCTCTGTAATACCTAGCGCTAGCTCTAGATGAAGTTCACATTATATACAAATCTTTTGCTATAGTATCATGTCTAGTTAATTTTGGTATTACTTTTTCCTCATCTAACATATTTGAAAGGGACCACACTGTGACAAGTTCTATTGGAATCACATTGTTCTTGTGGATACATGCTTCCTTTACTTATTTTTGATGGGTATAATCTCCATCCCCATTCTTTATTTATACATTCTAATATGGTGCACATCATTTGTAATATCCTCATTTGTGCTATGTTTATTTTGTGGACTTTTTGTCACTTTCAATCTGCACTCGAATATTAAGTAATTTTAGATCAATAGGTTACAAGTAATTTTACTGCCTCCTATGTACACACATTCCACATATTGGCTTTGGGCTGCAGGTTTGTTGCTTTTTTTGTTACATGTGTTCCTCAATTTATTCGTGTTGACCTTAAAAGAAACTGATGCCTTTTGAGCTAAGGATTTCCCTTTTCATTTTCACCTTTGAATCCTGTGCTGTAGCATCACTCTCCGGATGATTTTGAGGCCTTCTCCAGAACGTGGAGATGTCGACTACCAATTTGGAGTAACTGGGATTGAATACAGATGCTGCTTTATAGTGACCCCTGAAGACAAATAGTACCGTTATCATTAACATCATTAATGAATTTGAATGTTCATTTCATTTATTGAACTTTGCATCTGATTATGATAAAAAATTTCAAGGAGAAAGGCTGAAGCTATTTTATAATCCAGCTGCAGGCAAACTTGTTCCTAATGAAGATTACGGAATTGCTTTTAATGGTAATCTCTCACATGCCTCTATTCAGAACTTTGTGTATTGCCTCGCATTTAGATTAGGATTGGAGTTGCCTTGAAAATTCATCGAGTACTGTCTTAAGATGGAAACTCAATTCATTGACTTGCAGGAGGTTTCAACCAGCCCATCATGTGTGGTGGTAAGCCGAGGGAAAGCTCATCCTCCTATTTACACAATCCAAATTTGTATCCCCAAACATGGTATCCTCATAACCAAATTTTTATATCTATTTTACTCGATATAAATTCGTTTCCGATGGCTATGAAGTTTTACCATTTGGCAGCTGTAAGCTTGATATTCTCATTCACAAATGGTATGGATTGGGATGGTCCATATAGATTGCAATTTCAAGTTCCAAGAACTTAGCGAAATAAAACAATTGATTTCTTCACCGCTGTAGGTAACGAAATGTTTTTTCTTCTTATTTTTCGGGTACTTCTTCAATAGAAAAACTTTCATCTCTGGTTTCAGTCTTGCACAGGAGTTGAGTAAAGACCGTACATGTGAAAGAGCTATTTTCCCAGACACTAGTATCATCGCCACAAGATGTGCCATAATCGGTAACTTATCAGTCGAATGAGTATGTGGATTTGATATTTACTTTTATCAGTTAATACTATAAATCATTACATCTAATGTAATTCTTATGCGAATGCAGGGTGACCGCTGCAATCTTGATCTTGTACCTGGATGAACCGATCCCAGCTCACCCATGTATGATTCCTAGCCAATGTGGATGATGGCTCGTGCCCTCCTTGCTGATATATTTTGTTCCTATAATTTGCAAATGGGTCTCTGTGAAAAAGCTGTTAGTTTGTAGAATTAAAAGCTTAGGGCTTGTGGTAGTCCTTTTTTTTGGAAAATGTATTGGATTTTTAGGTGCTTCACAATTTTGGATTTGAATTTTATATGGATATTGTTACATTTTGGAGTTCAATTAATGATGATTGTTGGAGTTATTTGATATTGTTATNGGAAAATGTATTGGATTTTTAGGTGCTTCACAATTTTGGATTTGAATTTTATATGGATATTATTACATTTTGGAGTTCAATTAATGATGATCGTTGGAGTTATTTGATCTTGTTATCTTTGATCTTGTTTTATGGTTGATTTATGTAAATCATTGTACAAGTAAAAAAAAAAAAATGACCTACAACAACTGTCAAAAAATGTTGCAAAATATAAAGATATAACAATAGACAACAGGCAAAAAACGTTGCAAAAAGGTATTCGCAACATTCAAACAACGTTGCAAAAAGGTATTCGCAACACTCGAAAAACGTTGCAAAAAGGTATTCGTAACTCTCCAAAAACGTTGTAAAAAGCTTTTTGCAACACTAAAAAAATGTTGTAAAAGGTTATTAGCAATGTTTAAAAAATATTGCCTAAACTCTTTTGCAACGTTCAATAAACGTTGCCGTATCCTTTCATTCTACGGCAACATTGAGCTTTGCAACATACGTCTGAACGCTGCAAAAGGCTTTAGGCAACGTTTTTTGAACGTTGCAAAAACCATTTTTGGTGTGGTGGTTCGATGAATTTGGAATAAAATGGATATCTTGTATTAATTGATTGTTTGGAAATTGAATACTAACTCATATATATAGTATTACAATCATTCGCCATGAAATCAAACCATCCATTCATGAAAAGTTCTGAACTTTTCAA